TCCTACACATTCATATGCAAGCCGAATCCATCCCACACATACATACACAAGCCAAATCCATCTTACACATACACATACAAGCCGAATCCATCCTACCTATACATATGCAAGCCGAATCCATCCCACATATACATATACAAGCCGAATCCATCCCACACATACATATACTAGCAGAATCCATCCTACATATACATATACAAGCTGAATCCATCCTACATATACATATGCAAGCCGAATCCATCCCACACATACATATACTAGCAGAATCCATCCTACATATACATATACAAGCTGAATCCATCCTACATATACATATACAAGACGAATCCATCCTACACGTACACATGCAAGCCGAATCCATCTTACATATACATATACAAACCGAAGCCATCCTACATATACATACACAAGCCAAATCCATCCTAAATATACATATACAAGACGAATCCATCCTACATATACACATACAAGCCGAATCCATCCTACACTTTCATATACAAGCAGAATCCACCCTAGCAGTGATTGATACACCACCGGCTCGTGAATAAGATGATGACCAAACCCTGTATACATTCACTACACGAACCCCTGACCTAGAATCTAGACAAGAAGTCTCGTTTTATGTTTGTCTTACATCATCAAAATCAGACACAAAATTCATACAAGATGTCTCGGTTTCTGACCTTCTAAAACCACCCAAAACCAGATCGCTAGTCAAGAAGTCTTTTTCGAAATTATTCTTAGGAATATTAGCAGTAAATGGTTAAGCATATTAGGAAGATGCATAGAGACACGAAGCTTCACAAGCATTTCGGTTAACTGACGCAGGGGATTGAAACGGCCCACTTGCCTTTGGCGTTTATACTTTGTGTTGCTCTCGTTACTATCAACCTTTGCTTTCTTTTTCCTCCACCTCTTGCACTGAACACATGTTTTTGTTTCTGCCTTTTCATTTGCAGAAATAACAGGAAATATTCAATTATTGGAATTTCAACTTTGGTGATTCCCAGCTGATCTGCGTGTAATTTTGTTTGTTTGTTTGTTGTTTTTTTTAACGTGCTATTAACAGCTAAGGTCATTTAAGGACGGCCTCCCCTGTGTGCAAGATGCATGCGTGTAGTGTATGTGTGTGTATTTTTGGAGGCTGCGATATGTTCGTGTTTGTCTCCTTGTGATAGCGCGGAACTGATGCCGACTTTATAGTGCTACCTCACTGAAACATACTGCCGAAGACACCCAACAGGACGCCCCACCCGGTCACATTATACTGACAACGGGCGAACCAGTCTTCACCGCCTTTTCAATCATTTGACCCAACGAATCCTCGGTAAAGGCACCCACTGCGATAACAGTGATGTCATCACAGGGTTTCTGTTTCCTGCTATTCACTGCTTGACGATATGTACTTTGTCTAACGTATCACGAATTCAAAAGGGTAAAAGGGACTTGTGAAGTTAATACTTCTCTTTTATATGAGGAAAATATCTTGAAATGGTAAACTATGTTATATGTAAAATTGCAGTACTGTGTTCCTGTATATCAGTCTGATACTATGATTAACATGTTAGATACAGAAATACAGTGTATAACTGAGGATCAGCTGTTTTTGATGCAGTCTTAATGGAAGTAAGAGGCAAACGTATTTCATATTTATCTTATAGAAAGTAACAACAAAATGCAAATAATCAAAATAATCTTTAAAAAACAATACAATATATTGTGGAACAAAAACATGTAACTATAGAGAAACTAGTGATTGCGTGTTACGTTTCTTGCTGGTGGATTTCTTAGTTCCCGCGATTTGCATCACCTTGATAGCCACAGTTATCTTTTTGTTAGTGGAATGGTTCACAATGTACACACTTTAAAGAGTTTTGACTTTCAAAACGTTAGGAGTTTATACGCACCATCCTTAGTTTAGACTACTTTTAACTTCCATTTGTTTGTCACCTGGTTTCATTGATGAGTCTTAGAAAGACGAAACAGCTATGTGATGCAGTGGAATTCATTTAATATTACCTTAGTGTGTTCATTTTTGATTGAAATAAAGTTCAAATAATTATCACATTTTCGTTGTAAATATTCCTTCGAGTTGTAGAAACATTCGTTGTATTATATTCGTGGTTCCATAGCAACCACGAAAACAACGAACATTTATTTTTTAGTAGTTATGATTGTATGATCGGTGTGATACATGTCGTTATGATGATGATGATAGTGATGACGATAATCATGATGATGATGACCTAAAGACATGGCACTTAATCTGAAGATCACTAATGTGGAAGGCCCTGACATACTAAAAGTAGAAGAGTTTCGTTGCTTAACGGTTTAACAGATTCTTCACCATGGCATCAGGGTAATATCAATCAATTTTAACTGCTTCCAATGTTGTTGTACTTATAAGTAAATATTTTACGTAACATTTAGTTGCACATGCTATGAAAAGACATCAACTACGAACAATACTTTTTTTAGTTATATTTGCCAAACAAAATCTTCTTTATTTGTTTTTAGTAAGATTTTTATCAACGGTAGGAGCAAAAATACTTTAAAAATCCTAACTAAAGTCTATAATCAGTCAACAGAAAATGATATATATTAAACAAAAAGACAATGCTATTTTCAATTTTATATTTACAGGGTCTGTGACATATCACTGAGATGTCAGATCAGGGTGAGCTGTACGCGAAGTCTTGGATTCTGTTTCACATCCTAGACAGATTTATGGGGAGCAGGGAGATAGTGGCAGTCAGGAGGAGGCTTATAGTTTTGGGAGAGCAACTAAGAAGTCGTAAAGGTAGGACAGACCCAACAGAAACATTTTACACTGGAAGTAGGGCAGAAGGAATGCACCTTAAGTGGTCTGACGCAGACGCGATGTGTATTAACAAAAATGTGATAGTTACGTGTCCAGATAATTACATCTTCAGTGATCAACTCGACAGCGCAAATAAAACAATTTTGATTATGAGAGATGCCAGCAGTCGACCTGGTTATGTAAACCTGGAACTACTTCATCTGGGACAGAGATATGGTCAACATTTTCAGCATTCCATTATTCAAGTTGGGGATGTATATTTCATATCAAGTGAAATATACAAACTGGCATTTGCTGAGGTGCTAAGCGAGGCACACCAGACAAACGTGGATATTAATGGCCCAGCCGTGACTTTACGGGACGAAAATTCATCTGATCTTGATCAAGCAATTTCATTCCCATGTTATAATTGGCCAAGTGAAGCTAATGAGTGGATGAGTAGGCCACGCTTGAGTGGATGGCCAAATAAAGCTTTGAGAGATCAGATAGTACAAGGTGGTTGTCATCTAGTCCCAGTAGGGGATAAAACGTCCGGAAACCCGTTCCTACAATGGAGGATTTCCTTTACGACTGCCGAAAGGAAACTCATTTATACTTTAACTCAAGTCCAATTTTTAGTGTATGCACTTCTCAAGTACTTCCTCAAACAGATATCTGGCATGTTGAAACAAATGTTAGGGGAGGCAGACATTCTATCGTCTTATATCTTAAAAACAGTTATATTTCATGCAGTAGAAATTACAGCTGCGTCATTTTGGCAAGAAAAACATACATTTCTCTGTTTCATGCTTTGCTTAAAGATTTTAATCAATTGGGTGAAAGCAGGACATTGTCCGAATTACTTCATTAAGAACAACAATATGTTCCTTGGCAAAGTTCAGGGTGAAAATCAACGGAAACTTCTTCGTTTTCTCACTGACCTCCATGACATGAAATGGGGATGTCTTTCAGTTGGAACATTCCTACAACCAACAATAGGAGATCTTATCTATATCGTAAGGCAAGGACCACGGGAATGTGTATTACCTCCACCAGCACAATCAGAAAATGAACGTGACTTTGATATATGCCATAATGTGAACACGTCACTGCTAGAGGAAATAAAGAGAAGTACAAATCTCTCAGGAAATCCAAGAAATTATTGAAACCGTTTGCAACAGTGTGTTCAAGTCCAGGACTACTAAGGTTGGCAACATATTACTACCAGACTGGGAATTATATGAAAACACTGGGACTATGTGATCATATGATCTCTTCATCCAAAATCTATCTTGGTTGTGATGTAGACAGGTTTGTAGACCGGTATATAGACAGGTATAAATATTTCTGTTATGGACGTGGGTACACGCTACTTCAAAAATGCCGCGCATATATTTCAGATATCGAGTTCACACAAGAAAATTCTCAGTTCTACCCATCTCAGTTACACCCGGAAATCACAAAACTTTCCAATCGAGCCAAACTCCTTATCCCCCCACTCCCCTACGCCGTGTTCTTGTCTTTCTTGTGTTACCATGAGCTTGGAGACACTAGGAGACGTGACACAGCATTGATTCATCTTCGGGCCGTGAAGTATGATGAGGAACAGGGAGTCGGTGAACACTGGATAGTCCACAATCTCCTGGGGATATGCTATGAAATGGTTGGTGACGTACGCAGGGCTCTCAGGGAGTACAAGGACTCTCTAATCAGTAGAAGATGTGATCAACATAAAAACCCTGCTAGGGAGAGGATAGACCGTTTACAGCACTCATAATAAAGAAAACCAAATCAAAACATATCTTGGTGATATTACATATTATAACTATATCAATATCCTCGAATATACAAACTTGTTACCGAGTAGATGATACCCAGATACTTTGTAATTATTCATAGGTATTGGTCCAAAATTAAGCTGCTTGATTTCTAAAAGCGTCTAACTGACTTTGACCTTCACCAGCTTCGGTTCGTTTGAGGCATTGCTATTTTACTTTGGAGTCCTGGAGACCTCAGCTTATGAACGTTGTTTAAATCAAGGACAATTCTTAACTTCAGAACAGTAAAGCATCATTAAAATACAGGAAAAACACGTTAAAGTTCAGGTATGCTTTCTTACGGAAATTCGTGCTTTCAGAAACGTCCATGAATCTCCGACCTTCTTAGTAGTTGGACTGCATGACGCGGACAATCCACACTCTGGGACACATCTAGACTACTCGCAACTGATTTAAAAGGTTTTCATTACTCACTGTTAAGTTAGATGTTGTTGTACAGGTAAACACAGCTTATGATTGCCTGTATGTTACTTTATAAGTAAGTAAAGAAGTGATATGTAGGTTAAAACCTGATAATGTCAGACATCAATGTTAGCGAGGTATCTTGTAACCTCTCATAACCAAACGCTTATATTACTTGAAAATACCGTTGTTCACACGTGTGGTGTCCATGCACTACAGTCGATGCCAATGTAAAATGACCGCCTTAAAATGCCTTATATCATTCGGTTCCCATGCCATTTCGCCTTTTACTGCCGTGGTAGATATATATTTTCCGACAGAACCCACGTGGAAGTATGCGTACTCCTGTGTTCCCCAGTTAGCGGCTCCATAGCTTATAGTGTGGGGATCCTCCTATGTATTGAGATATCAGTAGGCAACATACTCTTATTGCCGAAGTATCAACACATCTAGCAGTATTCGAGTAGCCTAAATGTTCAGGCAACACTAATCCCAGATACTGGTACCTGTAAGGGTATCTTCTGGTCTCCACACGGTCCGGTCACAACCGGTATAAGGAATTAAGTGAATATCAGGCAACTTTGAATGAGATCCAGTCAAAATATTGATAGTAAATGGTTTTTTTTCAATTATGCTGTTTAATAGCATTATTAAAACATCAGGTCTCACTTCAAACTAAATTGGATGGACGGCTTATTAAACTTATAAAATAACAACCCTTTTAACAAACGTTTAAAATACAATCTCCGTATCTTGCAGACTTTAATGAAAAACAAATATTAAGATGAGATGTGCAAAAAATATTCTAAAACAGTATTTAGTGTGTTTAGAAATAAAATGAGGCCGGCTTTTAACCCTAGACTCGGATAATTATACAGCTGCTTTAACCGACTTAGCTCCCTGGTCAACGAATGCCAGTCGCCCTACTGTCATAAACATACCGATATAGAGGGAAAGTGCCCGTATGTACTAAACACTACGGTGACATTCTGTTGTTTTGCATGCTGTTCCTTGAACGCCACTGTCTGGTTTTCAGTACCAAAATAACGTTCTTCCTTTACCGTAGCTTCAGGTTGTTGATATTCAGTCAAACAATTGAAGATAATACTTCAGCTTAGTTTGAATTAGTGATCATTGAATTATGATTGAGAATGATGTATAACATTGTATAATAACTAGACGTAAGTGCTGGGTTCTTGTAAACTTTGTTTAGTTTTAATTGATGCTAGCTCTGACAAATTCAAAATATATTCGCAGTATATGAAGATCAGTGTTTAACGGTTAATCATTGGACAACTTTAAAATGTAGACAAACTTTATATTTTCGGAAAAATCATAACAATAACATTGTATTTCATAATTACTATATCTCTACCTCAACCCTTACAACTATTGATAGCATGGTACATGTAAGCTACAACACTGTCATGTGAGTTCGCTTTGTGTTCTTATTAAAGACATTTTTTGATATTACGCCATACCAAATAGTTTACATTGTACTTGCTTTTTTGCTCTATTCTAGAATAAATTCTTATTAAAGATACAAAGTTTATTTTAATTAATATCATTCTGCTTTCTTTAGTGTTAAACAATTATGTTTATTGCTTGCAAGCTCCATTTCTCAAGAACAAATATTCTTCTTGATGTGGTCTCATCTATAGTTTATTGGCAACAGAGCGGCAGTAAAAACTGGATGTAGTACAATATGTTGTTGTTGTAATTATATGTTAATATTATCTTATTTGTGTTTGTGAATATTACTGGTGCAGAATATGTAAATGATCAACACAACACTTCAATGACATTTTGAATAGAGTTGTCTCTCCTTACTCACAGTAGTAGAATTTAAGGAGTTGAGAGAAAAAAAGGCTAGCAGACCTTTTTAAAACTTTATTGGAAGGGTTGGGAGGAACTTAGTGAGGAAAGTACGCTTAAAATTCATCACTTTGAAACCTGGGATATGATAATGTCTTTTTCCATGTTATTATTGTTGTTTTTCATTGATATTTAAACCCCTTTGATAATATTGTTTTTGATTATCTCCCATTACTTGAGATGCAACGTGTTATGGTTATTTTACATATGTGTGTCGCAATACTAGCTCTCCAGAGCTGATGTTTCGTCGTTTACATGTATGCGACTTTACATATAGTTTCTTGTATCTTGTATCTATACGAATTGGTCGGTACATTTTGACAGTTCCAAAAGAAATAGATATACACAGTGACATCAGTGAAATAATCATCAGGACCAAATCAATGCTTGATATCTATACTTATAGCACTGGTGGCCATATTGAAAATTCAAAGGAACTGGACCAAAATGTGTAACTTGATTAGTACCTGATGATAACTCTTATAACGCCCTAATGTCTATTTGTTTTACGGAGCTTTTCATTAGTAGCTTGATAGCCTTTTCTCTGTAACGAAAATACATTGAATTATTCTATATGATTTAAATATAATTTTCCAGGCACTTTCAAACATTCATCTTAAAACATCTTTATCTCAATATCCCAAAAGTAAGAATTGAGAACTTTTAACACATATTTGAAGGACGGTGCTATGCCACCCACTGTCACACTCAAACACAACCCTGGTCATGTTTGTCATCCTCAGTACGTACCCTTTCAATACCCGCCCTCACAAACCACCCTGGTCAGGTTTGTCATCCTCAGTACGTACCTCTTCCATACCCACCCTCACACACCAACCTAGTCATGTTTGTCATCCTCAGTACGTACCCCTTCCATACCCATCCTCACACACCACCCTGGACAGGTTTGTCATCCTCATTACGTACCTCTTCCATACCCACCCTCACACACCACCCTGGTCAGGTTTGTCATCCTCAGTACGTATCTCTTCCATACCCAGCCTCACACACCACCCTGGACAGGTTTGTCATCCTCATTACGTAACCGTTCCATCTTTACACCTTTACATACATGTATATAAGAAATCACATGGATCAGTCAGTATAATTTTACAAAAGATACATTCTAACAGAAATGTTTCTGTGCATTTTACACAGTGTGTATTTGTCCATCGGTTAGTGTCTAGTGTCCAAATTTTTTTACACTGTAATTATCTGTCAGCTTCATGAAATACTACTATACAGAGTTATTTACACAATTCTAGCTGTACTACATTACTGTCATGTGATACAAAGTAAAACAGTGCTACACTGTAATAACGTACTGCTCGTCAATAGAGGCGTGTCTGCTGTGTAAGTTACTCGTCAATAGAGGCGTGTCTGCTGTGTAAGTTATTTACACAATTCTAGCTGTACTACATTGCTGTGGTGTGATACAAAGTAAAACAGTGCTACACTGCCACTTTTTGTCACAACTTCACCAACAACATTTTAGTGAAGGAGTCTGATGAAATAATCCTTTAAAACAATAAAGGAGAAAGTATGGGCAGCTTAACCATGTTTTACTTAAGAGTTAAGAGAATTAATACATTTATTAAGGACTAATTAATAATATTCTATAGATCTTTGTAAGCCTCTTTATACAGGAATGGCCACTGGTTTTTCTGAATAAATAGAAGTTCGAACCAATTCCAGTTCAATCATTATTTTAATGAAATGTATTGTAATTCATTCATATCATCAAACCTTGGCATTTTGAGTTTGTGTTTCTTAAATATGTAGCATTTCGTTTGTTAGTGATCATGAGTTGTCTCCCTTAGAATTAATTTATTTGTATAGGTCCATCAAAAACTGATAATATAATAATTGTTTCAATATTTTTGTTATGTCACCACTCTCATGATGATTGACAGAAATTGAAAACATAAGTAATGGCACAGATAGAACTTCAGACGTATCATTATTTGTTTATATGTAAATTATTTATTTGTATATTTGTATACGATGATGTCACCCACAGATCTACATTATAATAAAACTGTATATATATATCTGTGTTACTGTTATATAAATGTGTGTGTGCGT